GTGGCATGCAACAGTGTCCACGGAGGAGAGTCCCAGTGCACAGTGGAGTAAAAATTAGCCTTTGCCTTTAGATCTGGGCTTCCTTGTTACCACAGCGAACCCTGGCGCTTGACCTTGGAGTCCGTTCCCTCTCTTGGTTAGTGTTTAGATCACACAGTCTTCTCGGCTCCTAAATGTGTTGCCCTTATGCCAGCAAGACTTCCCAGCTGCCCTAGCAAAGAACACATAAGAAAAAATAAGTCTGCAAGAGTCTTTGCACTAAGGGCTCATGGAGAATTGGCTAAGTGAGAGGGATTAAAGGGATGTGGCACAGATTTTCTCACTCATTTACCAGGTTCATGGGTGCACAGTACACACAGTTTTCACTGAGTACTTGTTCTGTGTACTGAGCTATATTCTATGGGCTTGGCCAATAAGATGATTCTGATATGAAGGAGCCCGTAGACCATGGAAAGACTCCCACACCACAGGAGGAGGAGACAGAGAAGGAGGAAGTGGAAAAGGCAGAGGAGGCAGAGGAAGAGGAGGAGGCAGAGGAGGAGGAGGCAGTGGAGAAGGAGGAGGCAGAGGAGGAGGCAGAGAAGAAGGAGGAAAAGGAGGAGGCAGAGGAGGAGGTGGAGGAGGAGGGGCAGAAAAGGAGGAGGAAGTGAAGAAGGAGGAGGTAGAGGAGGTGGGAGAGGAGGAGGAGGTGGTGGAGGAGGAGGAGGCAGAGGAGGAGGCAGTGGAAAAGGAGGAGGCAGAGGAGGTGGATGCAGAGGAGGAGGTGGAGGAGGAAGAGACAGAGGAGGAGGAGGGGAAGGCACAAGAAATCAAGGACAATCACCATGAATCTGCAGGGGAAAAGAGCTGCAACATTTAGAAGAGTGGATTCAATTTGATTAGGGGATGTGGCTACCGATGGCTAGTCTTCAGAGCAGAAGCAAGCTTGTTGGAGGAGGATGCTGGAGAGGGAGTTTAAGGAAAGCTTTAAAACATGGAAAACATTCCTCTTATTGAGAATTTCAGGAATGACACACATCATTTCCAATCCTTTCAAAAGGCTGTATTGTGTCCCTCACTTCACAGATAATGAAAGCCAAATGGAGAGATTAAGTAAATTGTCCTGACTCTTAAATCAAAAACAGCTGGATGAAAACTCAGATTGCTAACTCTATATACCATATGTTCTTCATTGCCTTGAAAGCAGGGCATGAGTTGACCGAGAGAGAGATTGAGAGAGATTTAAAAGCTACACAAAGAGTAGTTACTTATTCAAAGCAAAAGCAAAGCATCTGGTGGGGACAGCTCAGTTGGTAAATGCTTACTGTGCTGACTTGAACCACAGGAATAAGGGTCCCAGATGGTGAGGTGTTTGAGTGGGAGGACCAGGGATAGCAAGAAAAAAAGGAATAGCGGGGACTGGACTGGGAGTTCTTGCATGAGTTGATGACTTTATGCCAAGCCAGTTTATTAAGAAGTACAACATTGGGCTGGAGTGATGGCTCAGAGGTTAAGAGCACTGTCTGTTCTTCCAGAGGTCTTGAGTTCAATTCCCAGCAACCACATGGTGGCTCACAACCATCTGATGCCTTCTTCTGGCATGCAGGTGACCTGCAGATAGAGGATTCATATAAAATAACTTAAGAAGAAAATTAAAAATAAAAAAGAAGTACATCATCTAACCTGGACATAATAGTGCACACCTTTAATCTCAGCACTCAGGAGACAGAGACAGGTGGGTCTCTGAGTTTGAGGTCAGCCTGGTCTATAGAGTGAGTTTCAGGATAGCCAGGGCTACACAGAGAACTCTGTCTCCAACAACAAAAAACAATCAAAAAAAGAAGTGCAGTATCTTATACACTGTAGGGGGAGAATGGGCCAACGTCAGCAGAGAGCTAAATCAGTGTCGGGAAAGAAAGCATGGGATACCTTAGACACAGCTGCCTGAGGCCTTATAACCATAGCCTTTCAGGGGAAAAAGATGGCTTCCTCCAGGAACAGAAATCTTGAGTTCTTTGAGGCCCAGGCCTCAACCACAGAACAGACCTTGCCAAGTCTGGTCAAAGACACAGAACTAATGTTTCCTTTGTCCTTTTATCTGGGCCTCGGAGAAAGCCTTGGGTCAGCCTGGCTCCCAACACAGCCAAGCATGAGGACTGTCTAGTTCATATCCCTAACAGTCACATGAAAAGCTAAGAATGGTACCATTTGGTTGTAATCCCAGAGATGGGGAGGCAGAGATTTCCTGAGAGATTTGCTGGCCAGCCAGGTTAGCCAAATTGGTCCCAGTGAGAGACCTTGACTCAAAGTACAAGGAAGGAGCCGGGGATATGGCTCTGTGGTTAAGAGTACTTGCCGTATAAACATGAGGACCTGAGTTTGAATCCCCAGCATCCATGTGAAAAGCTGGTAATGGCTGCGCACACCCATAGCTCAGCACTGTAGGGGATGGGGACAGGCACATCACCGGTGCTGCTGGCTGCCAGCCTAGCTGTAGGTGCAGTAAGGGCACTGTCTCAAGGGAGTACAGCAGAGAGGGACAGAGGACACCTGGCATCCTCCTGGTCTCCGTGCACACACACACAGGTGCACACCTGCCATACTTATCCCAACACACACATACACTTATGTCCACAAAACAATAACCACAAAAGCCACCACACATATGTGCAAACACTTGTACATGAATACACACAATATCAGTACCAGAAAAACTGAGAAGCAAATTTTTTATTTTATTTTATTCATTTATTTTATGTATGAGTGCTCTATTTGCATGTACACCTGCATGCCAGAAGAGGGCACCAGATCACATTATAGATGGCAGTGAGCCACCATGTGGTTGCTGGGAGTTGAACTCAGGACCTCTGGAAGAGCAGAGCAGTGCTCTTAACTTCTGAGCCATCTCTCCAGCCTGAGAAGTAAAAAATTCAAGAAAAAAAGACACAGGTTGTTTTTTTTTTTTTTTTTTCCGGAAGGTGTTTTTGAATTTTATTAGATTATTTAAAAAAAAAACAAAACAAAACAAAAAACAACCAACAGTATCTAATTTATTGCTCACAAAATAAATAACAGTGACTCCCTAAAATTAAGGGGATTTCAGGGCGCCTGGGAGAGAGAATCTGATATGAGGAAAAGGTGCCTTGGGTGACAGGACTAAATATTAACCAGGAAACAGTGCTACCCTCCCTGCCCCCAACACACACTTGGGAACACAGACCTCACTTTGTTTAAAAGTGCACACTGTTGATACTGGGGTGTTGGACTCGGGGTTGAAGCTCACCAGGCCACACTTGCTTACGGCAGCCTTTCTTTTCTATAGCCTCACAGCCACTGGCAAGTTCCTTTCAAGCTGAGCTGGGTTGTGAGTCTGAATGAGACTCCAGGAAAGAAATGTGAATCCAAATGCCAGACAGACTTGCCCCAGTCATGCCCATCTGCAGCTCCTTATCTCCAGAGCTGATTCTAGGCTCCCTGCTGCTACAGGAAGCAACAGGCGCCTAGATGGCAGGCGCTGCTGCTCTCACTTCACCAAGGAAGTTTTTGGACTAGGTTGCTGGTTTCTGGGACATCAGAGGCTACCTGTGGTGACACACCCCAAACCTGTACACCTGGGTACAACCCAGCCAGATGTGTTCTTTCCTCCCAACCCCAAAACCTTTAGAGTCCCACACTCATACCTCAGAAAACCCACCCCTCCCCAGACACCCATAAATCAGAGACAGACTGACCATGTGAAGCCAGCCCCTTCCTCTGAGATCTACAAGACAGCAGCCCTGGTTTGTGGGCCCTGCACTCCCTTCAGAGCTACACCTGCTACTGCCTGTCTGTCTGTCCATGGTGTTAATGACTCCTAATAAACTTCTTACTCCAAAGGACAATCTGCAAAACTATCCCCTCGGCCCCCAGATGCTTGGCTTTCCTGGAGGGGCCTGGGTTATCCAATAGGCTGCAAAGGAGGTGGTATGTGGAGATACCTATTTCCCAAGCATGAGGATCCTTTTTGTCATTTTTCCTCCCTTAGGCTCTGATTACTATGTGTTTTCCATGATGTCGGCTATTTTTGTTTGTTGGATTGTTGGAGTCAGGGTCTCAAGTTACCCAGGCATGAACTCCTGATTGTCTTGCCTCCAACTCTCAATAGCTGGGATTACAATGCATTTGCCACCACACCTGGCTGATGATTGGTGGATTTTAATATGAAGTCAATTAGCAGAAAAACAAAACAAAACAAAACAAAAAAACCCACAAGGGTAGGAAGAGTGGAAAAAAAGATAACAAGAAAAGCTGACAGGAAATAGATTTGTAATGAAGCTGGGATGTACTATCTTGGTGGCAGCTGAAAGAAACCATCCTTTCCCAAGGACCCCTTGAGCATACAAGATGGTAGGTGGAACTGATCTGACCCTTTTTACCCAGGCTGACATAGTCTGGGAGGCTGAAGATGAAAAGATATGATCACTGCTAATAACTGAATTGTCTCTAAGTCCCCAGACAGAACAACCAGTGGAGGGAAAAAAAGGTTCTAAATTCTCAGAGATCTTCCCAGTGTATACAAAGGATCAGAAAATATTGGGGGTTGGGAGGGGGAAGGGAAGAGCTCCTGTAATCATTGACTGCCAGACATCCTGAAGGCATCCCACTGGCTAAAGTTCCTGCTTTACTTGCAGGAGCAGCTGTTCCACTGCTGCCAGCCACAGAGAAGCATTGAGGGTTACCTAGTGATGTTTCCTTGTAAGACTAAAACGGATGAGAGAGCACTTTCATCCTAACAGTAAGTGACTTGAGTAATCTCTTGCGTTTGGAAGGGAAAGACCAACATGGTCTTTAGGAAATTCATTTCCAGCTGGGCACAGTGGCACATGCCTGGAATCCTAGCACTCTGGGAGACAGAGCCAGATGGATCTCTGTGAGTTCAAGGCCAGACTGGTTTACTGAGAAGTTCAGGACAGCCAAGGCTACACAGAAAAAAAACCCGTCTTGAAAAACCAAAAAGGGGGGGGGAGGAAAGAAAGAAAGAAAGAAAGAAAGAAAGGAGAAAGAAAGAAAGAAAGAAAGAAAGAAAGAAAGAAAGAAAGAAAGAAAGAAAGAAAGAAAGGAAGGAAGAAAGAAAGAACAGAGAAAAAGGAAGTTCATTTCTCATGATTCCTACAACTGGAATGATCCAATTGCTGCTCATTGTTCCTGGCTCTGGTTGTGGCTCTGTGTGGTTCCTTGCTGAGTCCATTGGTGGCCACAAGATGAGATGGTAAGCTTCAGGGTGGGCCATATAAGCCCAGCTTCCTGGCAGCTTGGGAGATCCGGGGCGTCTTCCTCTGGGGGAATGGATAGTGAGCTGGTTTTCCAGACCTGTGCAGGTTTTTTGTGGAAGGAAGACCCTGAGCACTGGCTTGTAAACTGGAGCCTGCCACCTGCTGTGGGATACCGCCCTCCTGACTTTGACACTGGGCAGCCTCTGGGATTTTGATTTCTTGCTGTGTCTTCTGATTGTTTTTCAACACATCAGGGTCTCCCTCTGGAGAGAGCCTTGGTTCTGATTCCGCAAGGTATCTTTTGGGGTTCCCTTGGTGAGTGGCTTCCAGATGGAAGGTTTGAACCAAGCGATGCATTTCTAGGTATGTGTGCCATGGTGACTCAGCATGATGGCAGCTTCTGTCTGCTTCTTCCAACATCCCCTCGACCTCAGAGTCAGTCTCCTCCAGGGACAGTGAGCTCCTTCTCTCCTTGTTAACCCAGACAGCACTGGTCATTGATTCAGCTGGAGTAGGCATGGTCCCTTCTAAGAAGAGAAGGCATATCAGTGTCATCATTGGGAGGTAGGTGTCTGAGTAGCTCCCTTTAAGGAAAACTCATAGCTTTCAGATTAAAGGAAAGCCAGGCCCCAAAATTCCAAGGGGGCCAGATACCCAGAACATTGAACATGTGTATCCACATATCCAAACACATAGGACCTGGCATATCTGTACTCTCTCTCTTTCTCTATCTCACACACACACACTCTTCCCCATCACGCAATTATAATTATTCACGACTCAACAAATATTTATCAAACACTATATCTAAGACCTTGTTTATTTGAGGTTCCATGAGATTACTCACCACCTTATATATGGGTCCTAATAGAGGAGAAAGGCAATAAGCAAATAGATACATTAAAAATCCAGGCGCTAACTGGACAATGTGCAGAGAGTAAGAGATTTTGGCACTCATTCTTAAATGGGATATCTTTATCCAGGCCCTCTCAGGCTCAGAGAGTTATGTGGAAGAAAAGTCGGGAGATTGTAAGAGCCAAAGGAGATGGGTGACTCCAAGGAAAGAGCATCCTCCAGACCCAGCAGGACTGATGCACACATGAACTCACAGAGACTGTGGCAGCACACACACGCCTGCACAGGCTCAAGTCAGACAGGGTCCCAGGACTGAGAAAGGAAAGGAGGCATGGGCTCCCACTCCTAACCAAGAAACTATCTGCAATTAGTACACACGTGCAGAGAAATACCAGTCTTTTCCAGTGAAGTCTCCACACTTCATATATCCACCACACTTCGGGACAGGCCGCATGCTCAGCAGCAGATGGCCAACACAAAATGAACTTAATAATAATTTTGTAGACTTTTGTCTCATATGCTTTGTTTGTGCATTTTTTATTTGTTTTACTGGTCTTTTGCTTATATATTTTGGTTCTCAACTTTGTGTTTTTGTGAGTTTTTTTCCCTTTGTATGTGTGTTTTCTTGTTTTTGTTGGGGTCTTGGAGTTGTGTGGGTAGGAGGATCTGGGAAGAGCTGAGGAAGGGGAAAACATGATCAGAATATATTTTATGAAAATGTTTTGTTTGTTTTTTGTTTTTGTTTTTTGTTTTTTCAAAAAAACTAATGTAGTTGCTAACTAATTTTATGGAAAAACTCAAGCATAAAAGAAGGTAAAAAAACTTCAGTGAGAGTATATGAACTCTATCTGGGAAGAAGTGAGAATTAATATTTAAGAATGGCAAGGATTGCTGGGAGGTGGTGGTACATGCCTTTAATCTCAGCACTGAGGAGGCAGAAGCAGTTGGATCTCTGTGAGTTGGAGGTTAGCTGCAGAGAGCTAGTCCCAGGACATCCAGAGCTACACAAAGAAATCTTGTCTCCAAAAACAAACAAAACAAAACAAAAGATCGGCAAGGATCAAGGATACACACAAGCACACATACACACACACACACACCACATAAACACACAAACACATACACATATATGCGCAAATTTATTGCTATGATTTAGATTTTCAATGTCCCAAAAGCCCACTGCTAAAGCTTGATCCCCAGCCTAGAATGTCATTAGGAGATTGTGAAAGCTTTGGCAGGTGCCTACTCAAAGGAAGTTGGATCACAGGGGCATGTTGTCTAAGGGGGTACCAGGATACCAGCATCTTCCCCTACATTTTGCTTCCTAGCCACCATGGGGAGAGCACTGTCCACCATTACGTGCTCCTACCATGATGTACTGTGCTAAAAAACAACAGGATCAGGTGACCCTGGAGTGAAACTCCTGAAACCATGAGCCAAAATAAACCCTTTTTTTCCATGAAGTTTATTTCATCTGCTATTTTGTCTCATGATGGAAGGCTGACTAACATACTTCCATCTGAATTCTTACACACACATCAGAGAACAATGTTGCTCTTAGCTAATGATTTTCTTACTAAAGATGGTGGAGAGAGTCCATGGACCCTTCTCTGAGATGCTTTCAGCATCTGTTTCTTCTCTGAATCGGCTTCTAAACTGAGGATGCGGATAGAAACCTCTTCCGTTCCAAGCACTCTTCCTCTCTTTAAGCACTTCGTGGGATGTGATACTTTACTGTGAACTTCAAGAAAAACTGGGAATTGTTTTCCAACAAAAAACAGATCAGTGCTGAGCCTGGAGTCCTGGCACTTGGCATTAGCATCATTTCTAACAAAGAACAGTGGGACAATGATACTGGAAGAATGATGTCATCAGGGAGCCCCTCTGAGCCTCAGCCTGATAAATCCAAATGAATCAGAACTAGAACAGATACAGCCATTTCTGCACACATGGGGTCTCACACATGACCCCAGGAGAGAATGATGACCTGTTCCCACTTGTAACTTCACTATGCTTTCAGCATGGTGAGCATACCGGCCTTCACAGTACTCAGATGCTCTGCAGGAATTAGAGAACAAGGAGAGGGGAGGAAAGCATAGGAAGTGGAAACCACAATCCCGCCTCATCCTGTGTCTACCAGGAGAGGTCTCTGGAGGTGGGAGGAGGTTTCAGGGACAGGCAGGTCTTCATAGCAGGATCTCTTAACTTTCTGTGTAGAGAGACAGAGACAGAGAGAGACATAGAAACAGAGAGAGATAGAGACAGACAGAGAGAGAACAGAAGAGAAGAGAAGAGAAGAGAAGAGAAGAGAAGAGAAGAGAAGAGAAGAGAAGAGAAGAGAAGAGAAGAGGGGAAGAGAAGGAGGAAGGGAGGGAGGAAATACCCATTGCCCCAGCCATGTAGTGGACCCTGCCCTCAAATACTTCCTTCACTCTTCAAACAAAGAAGAATATTCAAGAACACAGAGAAGTTTCATATTATGTTTTCCCTTTCTTTTAAAAAAACTTTTCAAGATTAATTTTAAGTGTTTTGTCTGCATGTACATACATGCACCACATAAATGCCTGGTGCCTGTGGAGTTCAAAGAAAAAGGTTTGATCCCTTGGAATTAGAGTGACAGATGGTTGTGAGCCACCATGTAGGTTCTGAAACGCACCCAGGTCCTCTGTAAGAGCAACAAGTGCTCTTAACCACTGAGCCACCTCTCCATCTTCTTATGTTTTATCTTTGCATCTGTTTTGGTTTGATTTGGTCTGGAGGGGGATGGGGATGGTAAACTCAAGCTTTGTTCTAAGGCTATGTCCATAACCACTCCATTCTATGACCTGACACCGATCACAGTAGAATATAGACCACAGTCTCCCTGAGTGCTGAGTTCTGGCCTAGCTAGTTCCCAGAACACCGTCTTTCTTCTCCAAAGCCGTTCTCTCTGTTGTGCTTGTGGAACCAGTCCCAGGAAGCAGAGTCTCCATCATCATCCCACTTAGCCTAGCTGGGGGCCAAGCCCGCTCACCTGACTGACCAGTCTGGCCAGATCAGAAGTAGGAGAAAATAGACACAGAGACCAGGAACAGTGGCCTTTGGCCAAACACCTGGCAGAGGCCTCTGTTCCTTTGGCTAAGGGACAGACTGGGCACGGCCGCCCTGATCAAGTTTCCGTGGCTCAGTACTGGCTGGGTCAGGGACAGCTCTTCTCTTCCTCTCCGGGAGACATGGTCCTGTCCTCCTGGGACTTTCAGTCCACCCACAGAAGGGCCCTTCTCCCCAGTACTTGCCCAGTCCTACCTTTAGGAAACACCATCAGGTGGGCCTGGGTCCTCTGCTGTCTCCTCAGTCCTTCATACTGGGCACGAAGAAATTGGATGTTTATAGGAGGCCCTTGACTCGACGCCTGAGTCCCGGAACCCTCAGCCATTAAGCAGGTCCCCAGCTCCAAGAAGTTGAGTAGGGCAGGGCAGGAGCAGGCCAACCCTTTCATCCGCATCCGGGAGAAGAACAAACACTGAGGGCTGAGGCAGGGGGAGGGGAAGAGAAAAGAAGGGTAGGTGGTAGGGTGAAAGAAAGGGAGGAAGAAGAGCAGGGAGCCAGGAGAGAAGCTGCCAAGATGAAGGGCGGGAGGAGAAGGAGGAACCAAAATGGGGATGTAGGAAGAATGAGGATGGGGGAAAAGTGAGTTCTTAACTAAAGAGGAAGATTTGAGGAGGGGTCTAGAAAGGGGAGCAGAGAGAAAAGGAAAGAATGAAGTGGTGAGGGGTTAAGAGCAGAGAGCGAGGACCAGGGGAGGGTTAAGAGCAGGTGGGCAAGGAGTAGGTTGAAGAGTAGCAGGTAGGAGCGGGTGCTGAAGGGAGAAGCAAGCACAGCCGCTGGGATCTTTCTCTCTGGCCAAGGAGCTCTTTATTCCGGCTGCTTCGCTGAGTGACAGTCAAGTTTAGAATGTGGTTCCAAGAGCTATAGTGAGATTCCAGTTTCCTGGCAGAGCTGAGCCGGGCTAAGGAGTGCCAGGCACTTGCTCAGCACACACATTTTGAACTTGACTTAGCAAATGATCAAAACCTGCTGGTTTAATGAAAAGCCATCACAAAAAGAAACAGCTTCAGCAAAACCTTATAGCTGGGACTCGTGATGTGAACAAGATCACCCTAAGGTCTCCACGCAGCCCCCAACACACTGCCAAGATAAAAGCCCAGGCAAAAAAGTCTGCGATAACAGTGTTCAGGGAACCCTGGCTGCTCTCCAGCCCCACCTCTTTGACATTTGAGCAGCCTTTGTGGTCTTGGCCTTTTCCAAGGAAGCAACAAGCAGATGTTTATTTTGCCCACAGCTCTGTGCAGGCTCACCCCCTGTATGCCAGCCCTACCATTTCTTTGAATGGCAGACACTGCCTCTTCTTCCAATAGCCTTGCCCTGTCCTTGCTCTGCTTGCTCAGGTAAGTCCTTTTCTTTCTCCCGATGTAATACTTACCTCAGCCAGCAGCCTGCCCAGTGCTCATGTAGAGCAACAGAGCAACGGGTGAGGAGATGGGGGGGGGGGGGAAATCTTCAACGGCTAGTGTCATTAGTTCACTTATTTCCACCTCAGAAACATCGAGGAGAGTGACTGGTGACATCTGCCACCAACCTTTGACTTCCATGCAAGTGTGTGCGCGTGCGCGCGTGCACACACACACACACACACACACACACACATGCACATACATTCGTACAA